GGCCATATATTTTGCCTTGTTGGCTATTTAAGACACCGCACTCTTCAGCTGGACCTGTCTTCTTATCTTCCCGTCAGTATTTTGTCCAAATACACCATCTACAAGGTCAACTCACCGATACCATGTCACAATCCAAAAACCATATCATTGGCCAGTGGGAGCTTCAACCAGGTTTGTCATGTCCAGGATGAACGCTGGAACCCAGAACTGACTGACTTCTCACTAGTCACAACACAGACGTGGAATGGAGATATCCGGCAGAAACTGTTCGAGGCCTTTATTGAATCACGGAACAACGACGAGAGGACAGTCGGACTTTTGCACGCAAATCGCGAACTAGGCATGACCGTCCGGGCACTAAAGGATGACCTCTTTGTACTCAAACGCAACCTGCAGAATCTTAAAAGGGAAAATCTGGGCCTGAAAAAGAAATATGGGGACCCGTCGCGGAGGGTGTCTAACTAACCTTATGCTTTGGACATGCCTCTTTTTGTCTTTGCTCAAGCTTGTTACGTATTCAGGCTTTATTCGTGGTATCTTAGCTCCGCATTCGTTCTATGTCGGTTGCTGCTCTGCGGACCTGCGCATCTGCTTCTTTCCTCGTCTCAAGGCTTGGCTTCAATGCAAGTAACTACAAATATGAAATGTGTTGAATTGCGAATATCCGAGCAGAAACGACGCCTCATGTGTATCTGTATGTGCATACATGCTGGAAACAAAAAAAGTGATTGGAGGCGGTCTATTCTGGCTCCTTACTAGGCGTTTAACCAAAAAGACTTTCGGAAATTACCAGAACCCATCCTTGATTGTAGTTAGCTTCCAGAGCATAAATCGATATACGGTACTTACGGTTATCCTGACAGGAATGAAAGGATTGGGGCGTTGACGCAGCGGTCGGTCACTTCACCCGAGATCATATCCCCATAGGGCAGATTGCAACCATTGCCCGTGCTCAAGGTAATGTTGTTACCACTATCCGTAGATACCATGACGGATTCGGTTTCGGCCTCCAGAGTCTGACACCCAGCTTCGAACCCTCCAATCTCTCTGCCTGCGCCGGAACAATCAGTAGAAGCGTAGTAAGTAACAGACCACAGGGCAGACGTTGACGTTGCCAGTCCAAGGGCGAAGAGAGATTCAAGATGCATAGTTGTGATGCTTAGATGAAATGTACGGTATGACAGATTCGAAGAAGGTTAGTTACGTGTCGGAATAGAGTCTCTTTATATCTTTTTCCCAGACAAAGTTCGTTATCGTGCACATAGAGTGATCAAACCTACAGAACTGTCAGGCTTGTTCAATAAGATCGTTGATTGTTTGAATTTTGGCGACAATGACCCAACGCGACCCATCCGCACGCACAATAAAAATGACTCAACAGTCGACCTTGTTGTGTACGGTGACCTAAGTGGCCTACAATTTGCTGGTTCGAGCTCGGTTGTAGTCGTTGAGGTCGTTGGAGGGTCGTTGGGGGTGTCACCTGCGGCTATTCCTATTGTGCTTCATCCATGACGTAGGGTGTCATGCACAAGAAGCTGGGTCTCATCTCAGCCTACACAGGCTACAAGAATCCCGCTCCTAGGAGCGCGATCGGCTGCCGCGGGAGAGAGCAATCACTGGCATTATCGAGGAGGTACATATCGTGAAGGCCATGACCAAGACAGATATTTAAGATGTGCTATATCTGTCGTTTTACTTCCTATCTTTCAGTACTTCACAGTCCTCAGAGCCTCATATCCCAAGCGTTTTCAATTTGCCACCACAATCATGGTAGAATCCTCCTTTCTATCGAATATTCTTGCAATTAGTGACTGATACATTGATGTCTAGACAGGCGATCTAGAAATTCCAGCGAAGTTCGAACTTCGCGACCGCTATAATCGAACAGATCTTTGGCATGCCGTCTCCGAATGCAATGTGGCAGAGGTAAAATTGCTGCTGAAGAGCGGAAGAGATGCACTTGCGGCGGATCGCGATCGAGTCACACCGCTCAACTGTGCAATTATGCGAAACAACATTTTGATAACACGACTCCTGTTGAAGCATCTGAGAGCCGTTTATTCCATGACAACATTCCTGGACGACAAAGATGTCAACGGTGCCGAGCTGCCACTGTGTCTGGCCGCTGAATTTGAACGCACGCAAATGATAGATCTGTTACTCGAATTTGGTGCGGATGTCAATGCAGCGAACCAACGTGGACACACTCCGTTATATCAGGCGGCAGATCAGGGGCGTTTGACGGCCGTGGAATTGCTCCTTGAACAGCAAGGCATCAATCTGCAGGCACAGGATCATTCAGGATCTACTGCTCTTCATGTTGCTACAAAACGGAACCACATTTCTATTGTGAATCTGCTTTTAGCCAACCCGAATGTTGATATCAACTGCAAAGATAAGCACGGAAACACACCCCTCTGGTGGTCTACTCGACTGAAGCATGATAACATCTCCACCCGACTGCTAGCTGAGGATGGTGTGGATCTCAATGCTGTCGGTTGGAAGAGCGGCCTATCTACAACATCTCTCTATCATGCCGTAGAAAGACAGAACTATTCGGTTGCGAAACGAATTGTCGAAAAAAGGGAGTTAAACCCAAACATCCTCGGGTGTTTCCGTTGGACACCTCTCGGTCACGCTGCGCGCGACGGCAATGTAGACATGGTGGAGTTACTGCTTCGGAGAGACGATATTCGAATTAATGCAGTAGACCCGGGCGAGGATTCACCGCTTTGGCTTGCTACGAAGTGTGGTAGAACCAAGGTGGTCGGTCTCCTACTGCAGCAGGGCAACCGAGTGAACATCAACTGTCGAAACAACAAAGAGAGCGAAACCGCCCTGTCAGCGGCCGCTGGTTCCGGAGATCTTCACACTGTGAAGCTGATTTTGAGGGATGCCCGAACAGATCTCAATGCAGTGGACAAGTCGGGCAAGACTGCCATATGGCACGCTGATTCAAAGGGGCATCTTCAAGTCGTGAAGGAGCTTCTGAAGGATCCAAGGCTTTCCTGCGATCCGGAATCTATTGCTTCGGTGGCGGTCAACCACTAGATGCTCTCGAGTTGGTCAAGCGATATGTGGGGAGGAAATAGACGGATCTGCTTTGACCAATAACGTACTGCATGTCAATAGGTGTGTGGTGCTTCAACTGTGGGATTCGGCATTTAATGGCCCTCTGCTTCATGTGGGTACGTAGGTAGACCAATAACAAAACCTTATCTCGTACATGTAGCCAACTCATTGGCTTCTCCAGCTCACTGACCATTTTTGCTTGACTTGGTCATCGGATCACTGCCCGTAAGTCCAGCACCACCGAGTAGTTGAACCGTCGTTCATGTTCAATCCGGACCCTATTGACCAGTAATGTGTAGTCAAAGTCGGAGTGCCAAGAGCTAGTCTCTTTGAGGATCACCGTTGAAATTCGTTCATCCCCACTCTAATCGTTGATCCGTTAATCCGTTTGAAATCTAACTGTTAGTGGGTCTCGATAGATGATGCTCAGCGAAGACATGGTTTTATTACGACCCCACGACAAATGCTTTTCAGGGAAATAGTCAGTCATTCAAAATGCGGCGTATTGGTCTCGAATATTCTAGTCAGGATAGAGAGAACCCACAAATGGCTCTTAAAAGCAACGAAACGCGCGCCGCAATGAGACAGCAATGTCGAGAGGCACTATCGGCACATATCCGTACTTTATTCCTGTCCCATGCATTATCTGGAGAGGGGTGACTGACAATTTCCAGATAATCGACTGGGCCTTGATATTGCGCCCAGCCAAGTTCGCCTCCAGCCACCAGTTGAGGATGGATACGCCTGGTCAGTGACGGAATCCAAGAAATCATTACTGCAGTCGAGCCTCAGCAATGGAAGCGTCGGTCTATTTCGGGCCATAAGTGAAGAACTGGGCCGGTCACTCGAAGCAGTTACACCGCAGACCCTGCAGGATTCTGACTTGGAGCGGGACGATGATCCAGGGGAAGAAGTGAGAGTCCCTATACCTGTCATGTTTTTTCGGTACTCAACAAAGCCATAGGAAGATCTAAGAGTGCATGAGGAAGAAGATGGGTCATTTACAGCAAAAATCCGCCAACTGGAAGGCACGAACCGTGAGCTGGGGGTTGAGCTCGATCGTACCCGGGTCCGACTAGACGACGCCCGCAGCAAGCGCGATCGATACCAGACAAAGACTCGTCGGCTTCAGAGTGAGCTTGAAGCCAGCTCACTCCGCACCAGTCGACTGGAGACTGAATTGACGCGTGTCAGAGCGGGAATCACCGAGGCGATGAAGGCTTTGCAAAGCCACGGAAATCAGAACAGTACCTCACCGGCGGAAGAACGCAATGGAACTGGATATCAGGAGAGATCCCGCGAAGTGGCACCGTAGACCTTGACGAGAGCGATATCGCATGATCTGAGGAGCTGACTTGACTTTGCTGACGCATTGTTTCGGTACTTATGTTATGTAAGCTTATTGGATGTGAGCACTTTACGTGGGAAATTATCTCTTGTCTTACAGTGCGATAAGCAGAGTGGGGTGGGTCCCCAGGTTGAACCCCCACAGTAGGAAATCTCATGTTGTTTGGAGTGAAAACACGGCTAAACCACGACCATCATGCGTTCTTACGCGTCGATAAGCTATCATGGATGATATATAAAACACTTAAGAAAGATCAGTCGCGAATTTGCGGCGCTGGAGATGGCAAGTACGCGTTTGTTTTCTTGGACGGAAAAGTAAGGGGAGACTGTCGTAGATATATATATGCATGTATGGAAATATTTGGAAAAAGCCCAAAGGAGGTCCGCTCAATAATGCCAAAGCGTGGGGAGTAACCAATAACCCTGAATTACAGAAACTAAGCAAAGCGAAACCAAGGAGGAAATACGCAACGGTTACAGTACCAAGTCGAGCGATATCAGAAAGAGTCCCGAAGTTCTCTACGAAGACAAGCCGGGCGGACCGAGCCCAATGCGGTTAGAATATGTACGCGCTGGCATCCTCATGCGCAGCTGAGAAAATCAATTTTGTGGCACGCGTCCTTATTTACCACGTTCACTAGCATTTTCAGTTCCCCCCCAGACCCCAATTGCTCGAAGAATTTGCTCTGCCTGGTCAGCCGCGGTTTTGCGTGACCGACAGGTGGGATCACACTTACTCGCAACAAGTCATCAACCGACAGGCGGTTCAGATCCTCGGGCAGACTCTGGGCCTCGGGACTCCATTCTGTTCCCGAAGAGCTTCTTGTCATTAGGTTTTGGACCACATCAGCCAGAGCCATCAGCTTCAGAGTTGCGGCATCCATTTCGGTCGCGTCGATTTGGCAACTGTGCTCCGCCCCCGCTATACATTCATCGTCAGTGTCACACACCCCGAAGATGTTCGCAATCCTGTGTAGGCTGTCCTCTCACTCACCAATTTTGACAACACCGGACTCCGTCAGAAAGATCGTGTCGGGGCTCAAGGTAGCCAGTACTCTGCCTTGCCCACGGAGATGCTTTATTCCTTTCAGGACCTACCAATCATTAGCCCTCAGTTTCTCAATGACAGCGACCCTGTCCTCCAGAAAGAGCAGGCGGACAGAGCCCGCACGTCCCACACCCACCGGCCAAACAATCGCGGCGAGGGCTCCTTCATCGATCGAGCATCGCGACCCTAATACCTGGCCCACGGATAACTCTAGCGCCTCCCACACCAAGAAATCCTGACCCTCATGACGATAATGCTCGAGTAGGTCCGGAAAGCTTCGGTGTGCGACTTGGTGCATCGTCTCCACCAAGGACTGGGCTGAAGAGGGTTGCTTTTCAAGCCGTTGAATATTGACCAACTCGGCCTTGTTGCTTCGGAGACGGGCGAGGAAGACCGGCCGCCCGAAAATTCGGACGATCGGCTCGTAGGTCAGCCACGGATCTTCGTCGATCTGTCGGATCTTTGGTTGATTCCTGTGCTGAGCGGGAGCGGGACGAGCCAAGGGGGATGCTGTGGTGGATGTTTGGGGCTGGGGTTCGGACGGGCATAGCCGTGAACGAGAGGCCTGCTCGATTTCCAAATCTAAATCGCGCTTTCGCTTTGGACCCAGCCACATAGTCCGTGGCCGAACGGGGTGGGACTGATTGGAATCCATTTCAAAGAGACCGTGGAGGGGGTTGCCATGCGTCCGGTGATATGTTTTCAGACATAGTGCGATTGTTTTATAAGCCGGCGTCTGCACGGCCGGTCCAAGGCACGTATGCTAGGGAGGCAACCGAAATGAGCGGGCACGGTTGCTTTCCTGTCCGGCTGGTCGATACTTGCGCGGTCGATAGACGTCTGTGCGATTGCCTGTAGGGCAACGGCGAATCTTTCTGCGGTTGTTTAAGATTCGTCCTCACATGTCGGCAAAATTCCACCCGATTGCCCATCCAACCGTACAAGAAACAGGAGAGGATGCACTAAATATGGCGTGACGTGGACATGAAGTGACAACCTAGATGCCTCCAGTCAGGTTAAAGTCGCCGTACTATACAGTATCACTGATCAACCTCTTTGAATTTGCTACGTAGTAGGTACGTATGCGACAAGGCACTTCAACAACAAACGAAGGCCGGATTGGGGCTCTCAAGATGCATTGCTCCTGGCGTGAACCGTTAAGGATTGATGTCAATTACAACAGTGCGCACTCATACAGTAGGAGGCGGGTCTGGTAGCATGCTCCATTCCTCTCTGAACCCCCCGGTATCGTCAATTTGGTCCCCACCGAACCATACGGATCATACCCCATTACTGGAATCGTTCTGGAGGCTGTCCCCGCCGCGCTGACCGACGAAGCCTAGATAGGCTAGACGTCCCCGAAGGGTTGGTTTGTTGTGCAAGTTGAGCTGAACGACGGAGAGACGATCCCGTTGGTTGGTTTTCCACCGCTAACCCATCCGTGGGCGAGCGATCCTGATAGGACATATCCATGGAACGGTCAACGGAACGGGTTGATCGATGGATATGTTGCCCAGAAGACGAAGGAGCTGAACCGTATTCGTCGGCCCGTGTTTCACCACTAGAGCCGTCCAGACTTAAGGAGCAAAAGAACGCGTCAAAAGCTCCGGTATGTTTACTGCTTTCCAGTTAGTGACCGCACAAAGCACGACGAAGAGGGTCAATTGACGTACCAAATTGGACAAGGGGGATTATCCCCGGGTGGACAGAATCCGAGCCAAGTTTCCATACAGTCCAAATGAATAAGCGCAACGCATCTTCCACATTTCAGAATCACAGGCTCGGCTCGGGCTTCCTGGAGGCAGACCAGGCAATTCCTGTCTTGTGAGACGGACCACTCATTGAAACTTTGGAGTCGCAATGAGTGCGATCCGCCGTCAATGGAATAAGTGGCTGGATGGGTTGTGGAAATCTGCCAGGGTACACTATCCTCTCGCAGCATATTGCGTGTGACGTGTCGTCTGGTAATACGGGACGTCTCCGGTGGCACAGGCGCAAACATTGGTATGTAACGCAGGTTGCGGACAGCCGCATCATACCATTGTTGCCCGATTTGATCGGCCTGGCGTGTCCGATGCCACCGCCGACAAAGGAAGTGGGACGCAATGTCGCGCAGGATAGGGAGGGTGGAAAGGTCAAAGTGCCTCCTTGCAAGGGCCTTCAGCTTATTGCGACCTTCATCCACATCATTCTCTGCCGGGTAGAGTTTGCAATACGTCCCTTTCCTGGTAAGGCCACAGCAAGTCTGCTGGTCCCTACGAAGTCCCATTTCACAGATGATCAGAGGATCCCATCGCTCCTGAAATGACGGCATGTTGAGGATAGGTGGTTGTGGAGGTGACAAGGGGTCTTGAGGAAAAGAGAATTGGATGAAAAAAGTCTCGTTGGCCGTAGCTAGAGTACAGTACTTATAACTCACAGAAGATAGATGTATCCTTGGAGTTTCCCAGCTTAGTCTACGTAATGTTTCACACTGGCACATGCAACGAGTGCTTGCGAGCACGATGACTCTGGTACATGCTGTGCGGGAAGCGGCACGTAGCTGGTCGGCATGTCAGGTGTGTTCATCGTGAATCCCTACATCCCGGAGCAATCAACCTTGGCCCTAGGAGCAGTTGAGCTTCCGGTAACCATCCACACCGAGTAACTCATTAAACCTCCATATTCTGGGCAGCAAAGCTCCTGGGAATTGCGTGTTATGATAAATTAACCGATGGAAGTATTGTCAGTGCTCAAGGTGCCGCTCATGTGCTTGGTCAAGCCTGGGGCCATGATCTCACGGCTTGAGGTACTTTTGCTCAGTCTAGGTGCTGTACTCTCAATGACGCTATATAAGGGGATCAATTCTCTTTGCCAGTTTACCGCTCTTCCCAAAAGACTTCGTCGCCGTCATCAAAGCATCGATGTTCAGGTCTCTTTCAACATGAATTGGGACTCTACCTTTCAATCGACACTCAGCCAAATTGTTGGAAATCCTTATTATCGACAAACATGCCAGGGCATCAGAGACGATGGAACCCAATGTCGGAACGACGTGCCCAAGATCTCTCGCATCAACAGTGCGATCCAACTTGGCCTGTTCGACGAAGGCCCTCCCAACTGTCCTTCCGAAGCCGTTCTTACAGGTGCAGCAAAATCTATGTTATGTGTAAAATGCAGGCTTGATAGCTCCCGAGTCAAGCAGTGTACCCAACGATGGATTCAGCAATGGAACGCCACGCTCAACCAAGCAAACATCACCCCCAAATCTCCGACTCTAGGGATCGGTGAAACGGATCAGTTGATACGGCATCGGTTGGCTGAGTCACCTCCTGCGGCATCGATACCGCGCGCTGGACTGAAGCTATGGAGCTCCGGCTATGCCGGTGTTTCAGAGTAGGATACAAACGCGACATCAGAATGGTATCGTGGAAAACAAATAGAATTTCAGCTTAAGGTCACAGCGAAGACGCGGCTGGCATCTATACTACGATACGTTGAATTTGATTCTTGCATCAAAATAATTCCAATGCCATGTTATCGTACTGACAGTCTTCTCTCCCTGCCCATTTGGTAATACACGAGCGCAACAATGGCAGGATCACAGAGTGCATCATCCCCACTACCCTGCGACCCTGCTCAATCCCTTTGCAATTTATGCATGACAAAGTTGCTTGAGCCATTCCGCGGTCCGTCGACAGAAGAAGAACGGTCAAAAACATATACACGGTGGACCGCAGCGCCTACCAGATTGACCTACCAGCATCTGAATGCTCTGGATTACTCCTGCCGTGACTGAGATCCTGAGTGGATATCATCTCTGGAGATGGGGCAGTCGACCTCCGCGCACGATCACATTCGAACGCGGGTCCAAGGGTACCAGCTGCCGGCCTGGCTTGCGATAGAGCTGGAGCAAAGGCTCGTTCGAATTTATCTAGTGCATGCTGTAGCTCTCGCGTGAGTGCACGGGCACGATCAACATGCTTTCGATCTTTCATGGCTACCAAAGTGGAGCGTATTATACTAGAACATGCACAGACCGTGAGAGTATAGACTTGCACGGACAAGCCAGAACCAGTGTTCTCTTATATTCCATTAATGGAACGAATAAAGCGAGTTGCCACTGTGTGTAGTGTGGGATTCGATCTCGGCTGACAAACATGGGTCACTGCGCGCGCCCGCAAAAATTCCACGGCTACTATGTAGGGAATATTTACACGCTGTGAGCGATACTCTAGCATGACTTAATTACCCATTTCTGCGGGTCCCGAACCATTGCTCCTCGAGTCGGCGTCCATCGTCTCTGCGTTCCTTTTGGGCTCCTGCGCCTCTAGTTTCTCGACCACGCTGTTGAGCATGTGCTCAAATGACTCCGAACCTCGTGGATTTTCTTGAATACCGTATTCTTTCAGGAGGTAATCCGTTACAGCTCCCATCCTCTGGCTGACCTCATAAATAAGATCGGCCAACTTGCTCACTTGGTCCAATTCTTCGGTGACTTGCGTCAGAGCCTTCCGCGTCGTGGTCAGCTCCTGGTCGAGCTTTCCTTGAACTTTCTCGGCACGAATCGCCCGCGCATTCACTGCGGCAAGGATACGAAGAATTTCCTGTCGATGTCAGGAGGGACTTGTCAGAGATACTCTTGTGATATCTGTACTTACTGAAGCATCCATGGCTTCGCTGATTGAGCTCAGGGAGAAATGGGCGTTGTCAGGCAGGGCTTGGAGTTATGATGGCTGAATCAATCCAGTCTGTAGTCAGTCTATTTTGTAGGACAAGCAAACCAATACAATCATATCTTTTATATACTGCCCTAGTCGACCACGCGACAAAGGCATTACTAGGATGTAAGCAGAAGTTAGTTTCTGCGGGCCAAGGTGGCCTTTACAGTATTGTTAAAGACCTGATCGCTGAACGGACCCGGAAAAGGGAAAGGAAAAGCAGTACCCCCACCGTGCAAAGCTATTAAATCGACGTGGTGAGGCGACCACCCTGGACACAAGAAAATATGCTCAACGGCGAAATCGAGATGACCATGTTCTTATGTCCGCCAATATATATAAGCCTATAGAGCAACGGTTTTCAGTTTGTCTGAGAGCACACACTACTTGTCTTCAGGCAGAGAGATATACCTAAATCCCATTTCAATTCTATTATTTTTTGCAGTCCTCTCTCTGCCCGTTGAGACGATGCCTACACTCTTATCAAGGATCCTAAAGAAAGTGGGGCTGGAGGTGGTACACATTGTTGTTGTTCGTCACTCTCGCCGAGGCGACCGACGGATCTTCCAATCCTCTTTTCCGCGAGATTACTGGACGGTGAGTGGAATAACGCAACGTCAATTCTGGGTGCTGATCTTTGACTAGGATGTCACCGTGACTGTTGAAGATGAATAAAGCCTGTTAGTAACCTCACACAGATCTGACTCGCATCATTAGCGGTGGTGTATTCTTGACAAAGGGCTTGAGTGGTGGTACGGTCCTAGATGGTCCACAAGGGCATAAAGCTCGACCGGTTTAGGAAATTGGTCAATACTGTATACTTGAAGAATTTCAACTGCAAGTCTGCGTGGCACGTGCACGTGTATCATCAGTTGAGCTGATAGAGTGATGGTAGCAAGACCATGCAGTACCGTGACTGCCGTCGGATATCTCACCCCAATAATGGCGGTCTCTCTGACGTAGATCCTGTAGAAGTAAGCCTCGGTGAATACAGAACAGATGTCAAACCAACCTGGTCGAGATGACCGAGGCTTGACCACCTGCTGATTGTGGCGGTCAATAAAGGTTGGAATTTCACCGCGCCAAACATGCACAAATCCGGGGTTGGGACTAATTCCAAGGCTTTAACGATTCCAAGAAACAATCACATCTGATCTCAATTATTAAGGATGTCCTATTCACAACATCCGGCTGTTCAACGCCCTGCTGTTCAACGCTCTGCTGTTCAACGCTCTTCTTTATCAGCGCCCTGCTGTTCAACGCTCTGCTGTTCAACGCTCTATTTTATCAACGCCCTGCTGTTCAACGCTCTGCTGTTCAACGCTCTGCTGTTCAACACCCTCCTGTTCAACGCCCTCCTGTTCAACGCCCTCCTGTTCAACGCCCTCCTGTTCAACGCCCTCCTGTTCAACGCTCTTCTTTATCAACGCTCTGCAGTCCAACACCCTGCTGTTCAACGCCCTCCTGTTCAACGCCCTCCTGTTCAACGCTCTTCTTTATCAACGCTCTGCAGTCCAACACCCTGCTGTTCAACGCTCTGCTGTTCAACGCTCTGCTGTTCAACGCTCTTCTTTATCAACGCTCTTCTTTATCAACGCTCTGCATTCAACGCCCCGCTGTTCAACGCTCCCCTCTATCAACGTTCACCTCGTCCACTCTGGCAGTGTTCGATGATCTCATGCTACCAACATTCTCGTCACCAACGTTCCCTTTAACGAACTTCCCTTATTCAAAACCATTTCTTCGTAATGAATGCAGGCCCCGCTTCCTCGTTGGAACGCCCGTCCCTTCGATGCCTTCGACTTCAATACCCCGACTTCAACACCCCGACTTCAACACCGCGACTTCAACACCCCCAACTTCAACACCCCCGACTTCAACACCCCCGACTTCAACACCCCCAACTTCAACACCCCCGACTTCAACACCCCCGACTTCAACACCCCCAACATCGACAAAATCGCGTTTTTGACCTCAAGCTCAACTACTCTCCGGCTTAACGGACTTACTATCACTGTCTGGCTCGCTGTGGAAATCATATGATATTGTTTAATTTTGTCTGGGTACAGTATGATGTTTCTTAACAATCTAACCAAGTCCCAAACATTACAGATCCCCTCGCTTGATGTCAAGGGCTCAGCCCTCAAGAGCTAAGTTTATTTCAATAATAAGGATCAACTTAGTCTTATGTAAGCTTCAAACTAAACGGTTCAACTGCTAGAACGAGTACTTGGACAGCGTAACAAATCTGTACCTATGAAGCATCATACCATTATTATCCATGTCGTAAGTTGATCAGCTACGTCAAAGCATTCTAGAAAGCATTTTGCAGATCGGTGCTAGACCAAACTGTGTAAGCTTACCGCCTGACGCTGGAGAAGACATCGTGTGGGTTCCGTAGAAGTGGTGAGCCGGGTGCTTTTCCCCGATTGTCCATAACATTCCACCTGGTTCCTACATGGCAGTCTTATTATATAAATCGTCCATTCCGACTACCTAAAATGACAGGGAATCGAAATTAAGTTTAGGAAAGGGTCAAAAGTACGGTAGTGCATCACACAACTCCACCCTCTGGCATCTAGCCGTTTAGACATCGGGGATTGAGCTGTTGATCGGCGGGGACGGGATTCAACGTCATATTTCGGTTAGCGAAACTCTAACTAGCGGCGTGAATCCCCTTACTCGCATGATCCTCCGGTGTAACCGCGCGGTACATAACTCATGCTTCCACGTCTCTGTAGACGTGATGAGATTGGACATAAACATGGCAGTCGGATCAACTGATGGAATAGAAATCGGGAGACTCAGTGGGCTGTAGGACAGAACATCGATCTCACGGTAGACCAGTGCACTGGACAAATAATCATCGTTCCCGGGCTGTTTTCGTCTAAAGCTAACCCAGAATACCCCTTCGAGACCCCCTCGAGACCTTTTTCTAGTCTCGATCTGAGAACAGTTGGCCCGCTTTAGATTGCTGGAACGGTATTAGTTGAAGGAAATGTGATTCGGACGCTGACCGAGGTTATCCCGAAAAGAGCTCCTTTAATGGAAACACCGAAGACCGCAATAAACGACCGAAAATTCCTCCATCAGAGCACGCCTTATGTTATATTCCTCCAATTGATCATACCTAATCCAAATTGATCTCACTTAAGCAGGAGGAAAGTCAACACACTTTTCGTGAGATGCTTGAAATGCTCTATGACTTGTCGTTGGAGTGGGGTTTCACATGATCGGCATAGAAGTTTCAAAGTTAGATGTGTGATTCCCAACCTCTGTCGATTGTTCAGCTGGAACCGTTGGTTAATATAACTCAAGGGGTAGGTTAGCAGTACTTAGCGTGTACGGGAGTTTCATTGGCTATCACTAAAAGTATATCACTTGAGATTTTTTTGTTTACTTTACTAACTATTCTCTTTTCCTCCCACGAGGCCCATTTACCTTGTCTTTCTACCCGCTCAGCGTCCGTTAAGATGCCAAAAGTGCACCAAATCTCTCGCACCCTAACGTTTGGAACCGTCCGAAAGCTCTCAAGGCGCGCTTATGCTTGCAGACCTATCCGCCGCGTGCGTGCTGTTGCTGACAATGGGCCCCAACTTTCGCCTCAGAAGGTCCAACCTCGCAAGACCATGGTATACAGTGATTGCCTTGTCTTAATATGTTGGAAATACAATTTGACTGACGGGTTTTGGATTTCCACAGACATCAAAAAGCGCCTCGAGAGAGCAGAATGCCTGCAAATTGGAATGTCTCTGCCAAATGTGCCTTAGTAACAGACATTGCCTTCGAATCCTTGGAAACATGCATCAGCAGCTCGATTTGGAAAATGAAACAGCTTTGAACGAGGTTCGGCACTTGAAAGAGGAGATCACTCGACTGAAACAGAGCCACATGCCTGTCAATCCCTCTACCCATGTTGTGATGCCATTGGCAGCACTTGATGATATGAAGCAAAACTTGCAGCGACACGTTAAACAAATCACTTCGAGACTTGACTCTTCGATCAAGGAAACCGAAAACCGCCGAAGAGCCTACCTGAGAACCGCTTCCGGGCGACCCGAACATCTCACAGGTGGCCAAATCGACCGTCCAGCTCACTGAGAAATGCATCGGTTTTGAAAGGTCCCACTTCATCACTAAACCGAGCTTCCCAGTTTTGTTCAGTCTTTTTCATAGCTAGAGCTGCTTCATTACTCTATATATTCTGTCGATCAAGTTCTATGAGTACTGCCAATGCCTCCCATTGCCTCCCGCGCCTTACTCCGGAGTATATTCGCTAGATATATTTTGATACTGTTCCGAACTCTTTGCCCGCCGGCGAGTATAGTGGGATACACTTGCTTCAGCATTTCTTCTATCTGTTTGTTTTGGAGGCGAGAAGCCCTAAGCTGTCGCTGCAGCTGAAGATTTTCCTGTTGTAGTTGATAAAACTCCCGTCTCAGTTGCTTGTTCCGGGTCGCCAGCTGTTGGTTTCCTGCTCTGATTTGGTCATGGGATCGTTCTGCCCAATTTTATGTCCGTCCTCCCTGCGACGCTGGTAGCCTTGGTCCCGGTCCTCAATCGACTGCCCTGAGACTTTCCCATTCTGTCTTGAGGTGTGTTGTTTTACTTCTGTTCCGAAAGTCGAGCTTGCCGAACCCTGAAGACATGTCATTAGTGCGCCGATGCTTTGGGAATGATCCGGTTTGCAAACAGTGCCCTCTGTCCAATACTAACCTTGGGCTGATGTGCTCGATCGATACCTATCGAGGCATCATACCCCATGGGGACTCGCTCTGCAGTGGTGAAGTACGCCATCGATGATACGGACTAACAACCGAGAGCTATCCGGAAGGAAAAAGACACCTATGAGCCTTCAATATGACCAGGGCAGAATAGAGGCAACACGGGTATGGGAAAGCTTCATTATGGGAGAATCAAGTGTCTCAAGGACGGAGTCAGAGCATCCGCTGTTGGGCCGGTCTTCATTTGCGTAGGTCGATCCGCTCACTGTAAGACCTATGCCTAAGCCCGGACCAAATTTTCTGCCCTTTCAGTGAGCGACTTAGATAGGATGGTAAAACCTTTACTCTTCATCAAGGTCCTTGAGACATTACCGATAGGCACCCCCCTCAGAGGACCATTGTCATGTGCGACCCGGAAATTAAATGAGTCCCTCCCCGGAGGGAAAAAAGCAATAGTTTGTTTCTATTAACCAATCATAAATTGTAGTTACCTTAATTCTTCGGGAGATTGCTACGGTCGGGGCTTCGCCGAGCATGATCAGCAGGACCCACCTTTATATACCAGTTTACAAGTAATTAACGAACCATTGTCGTAAAGCAGCATGGGGGCCAAAGGGAACCCAACCTGAAAAGGCCACTGAACAGATAGATAGGTCGTGGGGACCAGAAAGAAGGCGAATGGGTAAAACAGATCACTTCGAGAAACTTAATTGCTTATCCAGGATACCTGATTTCTCGCAGATCTGAATACCAGAGTTTCTCTACAATCCATATGCAAACGCTGCAAGAATGTACAGACACCACAAAGAAAGGCCTCAACGGTGCCTTAGATGGTGGTAAGCAGGAAGAAGAAAGACAGAGTCAATAACCAGTCTACCGGTTACAGTATGATGGAAGTGCTGGCCGCTACTCGTTTCACACGAAGCCGTGGACCCAGAGACCGGTTATATCCTTCATCCCCATGACCTGTTTATTAATGATGCATGTTGAAACAACCGTTGAACTTAAACTGGCGCCTACATAGAGGGCTAGAACCATGCAAATCCTCGATCTTCGGGCTATTTTGTTCAGTTCCACATTCATTGCGGCTTTAAAGCTCATGCTTGCCCGATTTTGCCACTGATATCACAAATATCTTCCTGTCTTCGTGAACACTCTCCGTTGAAATAATTCCCGGGAGACGTTGCACACCATACCATGCCGAAGATGCCAACCAAGAAGATACAAACTACGCGGGATCCGGCTCCAAGTAAGGCTCGTCAACGGATCCCTGGCCTATCCGCTTCTGCCAGTCGCGTTGCACGACCCCCGGCTGCTGATACCGAAGCTGATTTCCAATCCTCCTCCAGACAAGAACAGCTGCGGGACTCGTTTGTAAGTGGCCCTCGTTTGCTATGTCACCATAACTAACTTTGGCTCAAAGGCAACAACTTCCTCTTCACAAGCAAAGAAGAGAGAGGAAGAGGAATGGAACGAAACCCATCGACGATGTCTGGATATCCTGGGAGATGCGGATGATGACTACCAAAATCTCAACGCAAAACTGATGAAAGAACGACAAGAAGCTCGGCAGAAGCTGCAGCAGCTCCGCACTGAGCATTTCCAAGCGACAGCTACAAATCGGCAGCTTGTCACGGAGAGGCAAAATGTCCTGCACGAGAAGCAACAGTGCCTCGGCAAAATCCAGCGACTCGAAACGGATATTGCGCAGTTGAAACAGCAGCTCGAGACAGCCAATGGCCAGACCACGGAGCAAATGATATCGCAAGGGATAGAGACCGAGTTAGAGACGGCTCACAGTGATCTGATGGGTGTAGCCACACGAATCTGGAAGAAGATCCAAGAACACCAAAACAAACGCTTTGGTCTTGAATTTCCGCAAAGTGATGTGATGCAAGCACCCACTTGGACGGGCTCGAATGGACAGTTTGGAGCGCTGGCATCGAGCACGCTACCGGGCCCTCCCTTGACGAACGCCTTTCCGTTGGATACCCAACAGACGGTGCCTCAAATGAACCAGTATGGAGCTCTTTCCTGAGAGATGTCAAGCAATTACTTGTACCCAAGGAACGCGTGATTGTCAATCGTGTACACCAATCCAGCACCAACAACTCCGTGGTCTCTCTTGTCTATTGACGAAAAACGATTGTTCCAGCGAAGTAATGAAATAAAATCTTTGTAACTCTCTACAATTCGTGATGCATGCAATAGAGTTGGTCTATATATCTCCCTGATTGGTCGGGGCACCATGTCAAGAGAAGACGTTGAAGTAAGCACGCATTTATTATGCCATCCAATGATCCTTTGCTAGACTCAATA